TTTATAAAAAAACGCGAATTTATAATAAAAACTATTTACAAAGTAATATACAATAAAGTAATAAAATATAATATACAATTACAGAGCCTTGTTAAACTCTTAATATAATATACAATTTTACAAAATAATTACAAATTATAATTATTTTTGTTATTTTGATAAAATTTTATTTCCTCACAAAAGCATCAAAATTATTTTATTTAGAAAGTAGCAAGAAAGAAAGAATTTTTACAACCACGGATTTTTTTTTGAAAAAATCACCCGAGAGAAATCAATGTTAAAAAATAATATATCTCCGGAAATATGAAATATATTCTAATCTTAATTTTATTCAAAGATATTATTCACTGTTAGAATACATTTCATTTTAATCTTAGAATTTTTTTAGATTCTATAATATATGTTGTGAGATATTTAAGACCTTGAAATCTTGAGATCTTGAGATATTTAATCGTGAGATATTTGAAATCATTTTTCTTTCATTCTGAGAAATGTTATCGTTTATAGTATGAAATAATTCATAATTATTCGCCAAGATCTATTAATAGATCTTGGCGAATAAAATTATGAATGATTTTATCTGCATATGTATGCGTAAATTGCAAGACGATTTGAATGAAAAAAAAATTGTGCGTTTAATAATTGATCTTTGATTGTGAATATTTAATGGAAATGAAGTTTTTCAGTATTTGTGCGTTTATATATAAGTGTATATTAAATTACATATAGTTATATAAGAAAATAATTCCTACGAAAATTTGTTTCTGTTCATATTTATTCCTGCAGCTAATATTAAATATTGTTACATATTATAAAACAATAACGTATTCTATATAGCAAATGTCGATCAATGAGAATAGAAATTTATTTTTGGGCTATCAGATATATGTATACACATATATATATATATAATATATATATTTATATACATTTATATATATAAATATAAATATACTTATATATTTATATATTTTTATATATTTATATATATATTTAAGATAAAATTCAAAACTAAAGCAATAATAATACGAAAGAGCGGAAAGAAAAAAATTAATCGTGGATCCAGAGAAACACACATTCGTACAATTCATTCACGCAAAATATACATACATATATCACGCATATAGACGCACAATCTCTCTTTCTCACCCTCTTTCTTTCTCTCCCTCTCTTTCTCTCTCTCCCTTTCTCGCATATTTTCCTCTTTTAGATTATCTCTAGCGCGCTGAATTAAACTAATTTGTTTATCCTGCCAGATTAACTAATGACATGCTAATTTTATCGTCGCATTATACATCGTATCATCAATAAATTAGACACATTTGTCGAGGCAACGTAGTTTGCAAGGGCAGAGTGTGGGCAGGCATTTTTTTCGTCCGGAAATTCTCCTCGCGAACAAATCGGATGCTCTCGCGGCTTCGTTAATTAAATAAAACCTCGTCTGTATTACTTTTATCATTGTGAGCGATCGATCGGTAGTTACTAGTCAAGTAGATAAAAATCAAAAAGGTTACTTGGGTAAAGATATAAAATAGATAAATATATAGAATCTGTAGAAAATTTTCTTATATAGAGAAAAATCATAAAACCGTAAAATTAAAATTTTTATATTTGGTTGGTTTGTTATAATCATTTTTCTATTCTTTTATATAAATTATTCACTTATTTAAAGATAAAGTGATTTAATATATTCTATTTTTATTTCGCCGCATTTTCTCGACATATGATATATACATATAATGGAATTATATATTTTGAAACACATCAAATCATAACAAAATAAATCGGTTACTTTAGAAATAAATAGAACAATAAATAAATAAATTTTTTAAAGATAAAAAAGAACTTAATACTTCTTATATCCGTAAAGAAGATAAAACATTCCAATTAAATCTAAACTTCCGAAAGAGTTTTAATTAATGGATAACAATTATTATGAAAACAATATATTAAACGTACAAACAAAAGCGATATTTTTATTTTAAAATAATCTGTAAATCATATTTTAAAATATATACTCATATTTTAAAATATAACAATATAATTGATTTTAAAATAAAATATACTATGCACACATATGCAATATATCGTACGTATAAAATTATAATTTTTAGTCAAAATTACATTTTAATTGAAAACGATTGAAATATTATTAATCTCATTAAATCTAAGTGGATGCATTAAATTTTTGTAAGTACATCAAACTGTTACGTTGCAGCAAAATATAACTTCGTTTCGATTCATTTCATTGTTTGTGCTCGCAATACAAAATAATTATATTTTGATTAAAAAGTAAAATTAAAATATAATTCATATTCTCGCGACGCGTCTCGAGAAACAAGCTAAAAGATAATGAGAAGAAAATTTTCTCTTTCTTCTTTGAATTGTTATAGGAATCGATCGCACACAGACACCCCTATATATTTTTTCTGTCGTAGAAAAAAAAATTGAAAACAAATTATAAGACGGTAAATACCCAATGAGAAATGATAGGTCGAATCGTCATCGATTTAACATCGATTCGACGAATTTGACATCGATTCGACCGTCATTTCTCACTGGGTACACGATAACGACGATCAAGTAATTAATTAAACTATATCTCTTGGGGAATTGTTACAATTAATAATATTAATATTGATCGTAATAATAATAGTAATAATAATTTTGTACAACATGTTTCCTATTTGTTCTCTTTTACACGTTTGCACACGTTTGGCTCGTGACACGCGTCCTATATACAATAATAATTTCATTAAAAAAAAAAAAAAAAAAAAAAATTGTCGTTTCAAACAAATAGCAGCAAGTATGCTCTTGCGAAAAAAAAACTTGTTTTCCTAGGAGTGCATTATATATAGTCATTATATAGACTATAATCTTTCTCAAATTTTTTTCTCGCGATCGTATATGAACGACACTTATATAAAGACGAGACACTTAACCAAATGATACTTTTGCTTAGAATCAAGTTTGCTCTTCTTTCTATGCAAGGACGAGGTCAGAGAGATCCGTCTTTAGGACGACATCTCGATCTCTCTCTCTCTCTCTTTCTCTCTATTCATCTTATATATCCTCAAAATTACATGGCCAAAAAATTATACGACTTCTCGAGTAAGATCGAGTTTGTCTTCCCAAGTAGCAAACTGACGTTATTAGAGGTCAAAATGATATGTCACTTTGACGTCTAATGACGTTATTCGATGTCAAAATGACGTATGCTTGCTATCTGGGTTCGCACGCGTCCGTTTTGTTCGTCATTCGATCCGTTCGCGTCACAGATTTGCGCCTTACACTTCCTTCGTGCACCTCCGAGAGACAATGAAGAAGGGGGAGGTAGCGAAGGCAAACTACACGCCGTTGACAGACCACACTTCCGGATGTAGTGCACGTATTATGGACCGCTGAAGAGCTGTGCGATCAAAGCTCCCGAGTGCGAGACACGTCACGTCCGCTTGACGAGGCTTTTTAGATAAACAGAGGCTGACGGATAATTTGGAAGACGCGATCTGTGAATCTCGATGGAATCTCGAGCCAGAGATGCAAACGCATCCCAAGTAGCAAAACTTGACGCCGTTAAACGTCAAAATGAGGTCTTTTTGACGTTTGATGACGTCATTTGACATCAAAATGATGTACACTTACTATCTGGGATAATGACGCGAGAATCAAAAGATGATGATTAAAAATTCGCGAACCGCAGAATATAGGCTCGGAAAGAAAATGTATATATATGTATATATACATATACCGAAAATGTCGCGAAAAAAAATGGTTTCGCTTATAGATAAAATAAAGCGAATATGATCGATATATATATCATCATTCTCGCATTCGGTCTGCCTGCTCCGCAGTTTATATACGGATAAAATTGTCGTCCACAATACACACGCGTACGTACGTCGTCGTACAATATTATCAATATATATCTATATACAAGTCGACGTAGTCGATGACATGGGGGTGGCCATTGGCTTTCTTCTTTTTTTTCTTTCTTTTTAATCTTAAAAGCGACAAAACGTAAGAGTTAAAGAGATACTAGGGACCAGTCGTAAGATTTGTCATGCTAATAATAGTATAATAGTTATTCACACACCCGATATTAATCAGCATCATCGTCATCGTCTCATATGTAAACTATTAAACGTTCTAGTGTTTGAGTTGACGAATAAAATCCACGTGACAAGTTTACACTTACATCCGATTTACATTCGATATATCTCATGTATCATTTATACTCGCGTATAAATCCTTTTTCTCATCTCCTCGTTCAGATTCGGATTATTATTATTTTAACTACATAGCGGCCAACCTCTCTTCGTATGAGTTTTTCGATTTGTGTTTTCTTTTTTTTTTTTGGTATAATTTTCGTGTGCCAATGCCCGTGTGTGTGTGTATGTGTTTTCACTTCGCGCTTTTGTCTTAAACATTAGTTAAATACATGCTATTTTTCCGCAATTATTATTACAGCGCATTAAAATCAATTAGATGTGTGTGGATAATTAATTTTAGTAACATGCTTCTTGTTTTTGTTATTTAGTTCATTTAGAAATGTCTTTCTTTTCTTCTTTTTTTCTTTTTTCATTCGATTCACCACAGCGCGAAATGCTTCAGATGCTTACCCTCTATAAATCCCTCTCTTTCGCTTCGTTCTTTCAGTTCATGGAGATTCCACCCTCGCATAATTCGCAATTGTTAATTGTCTACATTTCGAACACCGCTAAAGAGAAGATTATGGCAGGGTTATTTTTATATACTTTTGTTCTCCCTCTCTTGTTCTTCATTTTTCTCTTCTTCGTCGTCGTCTTTTTACTCTTTATATCCATCCACGATACACGCACACACCACTATACTTTTTATTAGACCTAGCATGCTTAGAAAATACTTGAAAAATGAGTCTATTGGAAGGTGGCTGCCCGGATATATATATATATATATACATATATATATATATGTATATATATGTATAGGTATATATGTATATGTATACATATATATATATATATATGTATATATATCCTTCACTATACACACTTCTTTAAAATTGAATTAATCGTCCACGTTTAATCGTGCGATCGAAGTCACATTTCTCGCTGAGTATCTCGCATAGTTCCTCATCCTAGAAAAAAATTTTCATATTTTCTTTTCCCTTTCTCGTATCTTCATGTATCTTCCTTCCTTTTTTTATTTTCTCTTGTTGCTCCATCAATCTTCTGCTGCGGCTGGATTGAAGCATCAAACGGCTTATTCGATGCCCGCTGTCCACTTTCGATCAATTGTTAACGAACGACACGTCCCTATCAGCCTCCAGGCTTGATTAAGTCTAATTTTTGTTTACTGGCCAACTGCAAAGTGTCTGTATATAGTCTCTTCGTGTGTTTTTTGTATCATCTTCCATCTCTAACCGCGCGTCTCCGAGTTTGCATAAATTGTAGCTATCACGATTCATCAGCGTGTATCGTCAGTACTAAGATGGATACTGAAGAAAAAGATGGTACGATGTACATCGTACGCGTTTTTGTCGATGCGAAAGCGCCTCCTCCGTCCCCTCGAAGAGCGAATATAATTCTAATAATAATCAATAAATATATTTAATTCTATCGTGAATATAGAATCGTACACGACATAAGAGACAAGACGGTGTCCACCCTAAATTTTCAGAAATATGTTTCCTCTTAAAGTTTTCGCTTCCGTCTTCCCGTACTGTACACATCCCGAACTCATCGACGACGACAATGATCACGATGAGGATTGCCTTGTTCGTCGTGACTCGTCTTGATGAGGGTGCCACGAGTCGTTATCAATACGGTATCTCGGCGTCGCTGTCTTAGCGTGCCCTCTCGAGGTACTAGGCGTGTCTCGGCGCGTTGTCGCATGACCCGTGTCAATTTGTCGATCGTCGTGGGCTTAATTAATAATGGAGACGCGCGGCCAAGTGCTCGCGGTGCTCCTCGGTGGTGGCATGCAAGGGGATAGCGGACGGTCGCTCCTCTTTCTTCGTAGTGGCAACGTCGCAGCATGTTCACGTTTATAATGTTCGCAGTTGTAATCGTATCATCTTGGGGAGATTCATTCGGTGGTTACCTTCTGTCCCGGTAGAGAAGATAAGTCTTCATCGTTTGCGGTAGGTTCAGCTCGTTGATCTTCTCCTCCAGCCTGTGCTTGCCGATTCGTTGCCGAATCACTCTTCGACAAAGATCCATCAGTGGCAGAGGCTCCGCTGTGGAAATAGATTAACGTCCAATTAAAAGGAGAAACTGTATACCCAGTTTGCTACTCGAGTAGTATTTAACGCAAATATATTACACTGTTCGATACACAAAATTAACTAGACGAATATCTTATTAATTATAACTAACACCAAAAATTCCTTTTGAGGATTAAACATCCTAACAATACTTTATTTTGATTGCAATGAAACTTCTTTAGTACGTCACATATTGTAGTTATAATATAACAAAGTTCGTGAAAATAGCCTTTTTGGCAATTTTAATTTTCAAAATTATGATGTAATTGAGCAATTTGGAAACTGGATCGTATTTAGCATCCAAAAAATTAAGAAACGATTAATTTCGTTCCGGTGTTCAAAAAAAGTTATTTTTTGTTGAACAGTGTATTATATTGCATCAAATGTTCATTAAATAGATATATGAAGAAATAGCAAGAAGATCTTTAGCTTTCAACATTTATCTTCGATTAAAACTTTAAATAATCTTTTTTCAAGTCACTACTATTCTATTTCAATTTGTTTGTTACTTACGATCAAGTCCGCCAATGTATTTCATTGTGATCTCGCAATGTCCCCAAACGGCAGACACAACGGGATGCAATTTCCTTCCCTTGAGGTTCCTGAAGGCTACTCCAAGATACTGACCATCAACTACGAATGCTAACGTTCCTTCGTCCATATCGAGAACCACTGTAAAGAAATCGTACAATAAGTTAAAAAATATTGCATATTACACTATATATTGATATAGTGAATATCGTTCTCCAGTTTATAGGACACTTATTTGTACACGATAATTGCCAGAAATTCTTGCGCAATAATGCGGGAATCGCTTACCCAGAAACTTGTCAGGAACAATGAACGTCTCGTCGGGCTTCAGGAGCGTGGGATACGTAGTGCCAGTATTGTTTCTCGAGTCGTGATAGAGTTTGTTCCTACCAAGATCCCAACCCCAACTAAGTTCGTTGTTGCCTACGAGACTCTGATAGCCAACACTGTGCAATGGCGCGTCCGCGGTGGCAACTCCTACCACCGCGTGTGTACCCCGTTGCCTCGTGCTCCAATAAAGTTCCCATACGTGCATGCCCTTGGTGTACCCTACCTTCCCACGTATGCAATCTGTACTTTGTGCGACAGGGTGTCGATGAAACGTCAACTTGTCGTCCTCCTGAGAAGAAACATATTAAGCGAAAATTAGCTTTAACTCAAAACAAAAATCGCCTTCAAAAACACACTTAAGTCCTAAAGTGAAGTATGTTTTTGAAGGCGATTTTTGTTTATATATATATATATATATATATATATATATATATATAACATCATTTATACATGCATTATTTTTTAATGAAAATTATTGAATTGTATTTCTGAAATTTGTATTAGTATTCTAGTTTAGCAGTTCATTATACTAACATTAATTTGCTCGTATCATAATTAAACTTGATCTCGAACAAAACTGAGTTTGATTTATGAGTCGACACAATTATTTTTACTTGTAACTTCCTATTGTATTAAAATCACAAATCTACTTATAAATACTAAATTTATGTAGCATATATATTTATATCATTTCGTTTAATCTAATCGAATATAATTACGCACTTAAAGCGCAGTTATATTATTCTTTAATAATAAAATCTCAATAATTGCGACGTATGCATGCAAAAATTATTATTGCAATCAATGCATAAAAATATATTAATTATGCAACGCATAAAAATTCAATATTTAAACCTTTAACAGAAAATACAAACAAAGAAATAAAATTTTCTACAAGAATCTTTTGTGCTTAAATATCTACGTTTTAATTAAATTCGGGCGAAACTCCACACCCCATACATCCATCATGCTGCGCGGTTCGCGCGAAACTGATTCTCGTGCGAGGTATCGCAAGCGCGGGCCCGATGGTCACATGATCACTGGTCATGTGATCACTGGTCATGTGACCAGTGGTCACGTGACCATCGGTCCCGCGCTCGCGATACCCCACACGAGAATTAGTTTCGTGCGAACCGCGCACCGTAATGAACGTGTGGGGTATATCTGATCACGTGATTAGTTCCGCGCGAGCCGTACAGCGTAACAGACGCGTACAAACGCGCAAATCTAATGAAAGCGCAGATATTTTGATCGAAAGATTCTTGTAGAAAATTCAATTTTTTTATTTTGTATTAAAAATTTATATATTGAATTTTTATGAGTCACGAAATTAATAAATATATTTCTATGTATGCATTACAATAATAATTTTATACGTGCGTTGCAATATTTTCAAGGTTTTATCAAAGAATAATATAACTTCGCTTCGCGCACGTAACTATATTCGATTAAACTAAACGAAATGAGAAAAATATATATGTAAAGAGATACAAAATAGCTCTCAACAATACAATAGAAATTCGGTGAATTAAAATCATATGTACATAATAGAAATTCGACAAATTAAAATTATATACATAACAGAAATTAGGCGAATTAAAATTATGGTCATAGCATCAAGCAACTGTCATTGCGAAGATTAACAATATGACAGTTGTAAAATAAATAATAGAAATAATGAAAGGCGTGGGCGAAGCACTACAGTCGACTGTTCGATTGCACTATAGTCTTCTTCAATACGCACACAAAACACAAAAAATTAAATTTAGAATTCTTCGTTGATGACCAATGGATGAGTAAGACGATTGGTCTGAGATTCCAAGTTTTGCGACATTTAATCGCATGATTATCGTTTTAGTTTTCTTCTCGAAATTTCAAGTGTGTGTTGTGACGTCTAAATAACAAAAATTAATTAATATTGTTAAAATTGTAGCTGCAGCGAGAAAATATTTCATACAAATGTTAAAGGATTTCGAAGAAGAAAAAAATTAATAATCTTGGATTTCAAATTATATTATTTTTCAAGATTATTTGAAGGTCAAATCACCTAGTTTTTTTTAAATAGAATCTCATTTTTTAATAGAAATTAATTTCTCGTTATATTTGATGTAAAATGTTATAATAGTAGGAGACGAAAAAGTGAATAGTTGATGAGATATATTTTATGTATTAATGTGACATAATTTTTCACATAAATTATGAAATATCTTATAAAATATTCATTTTTCGAGGATATTTTTATGTACAAAAAAATTGTTAGAGTGGAATATAGTTAAAGAATGAATAATTTACGAAATATTTTATACTTTATTTTGACACATTTTGACAGAAGATATAAAATATTTTGTAATACATATACTCATTTTTTCATTTTATCTTACCATTTCTTAAATCTTACCTTATTAATAATGTTCTGTATAAAGTAATGAGAAATCTTCGTAAACAGAATGATATAAATTAATTGATGCCAAAAGAACATATACTTGCAATTAAAAAAACATGTAATTTTTTTACACGAAGTGATTTATCTCATTATTCTATTATTAAGGTAAATTTATCGAAAATCGAGCATATTATAAGATATTTCATATTTTTTATCGAAATGCGTCAAAGTAAAGCATTCAAAATATTTCATAAACTATTCATTTTTCCACTCAAACAATTTGTTATGCCAAATCGAATTTTATCTTACGATAAACGTTCGTTTCGATTCTATAACTTTTGTATAAAATATTTTTTATGGAAATCTTCACGGAGTGAATTTTTTGTTATATTTTACCGCAAAATTCACTACAAATGTTATCATGTTTGGTAAATAAGTCGAAAATTACCACGCTGCATGTTAAAATAATCATGAATGATTAAGCTGGATTGAAAATGTTATGCTGCATTCTAAAATTTATATAAAATATTTTATATTTATCACTTTTTGGCATCTATTTTAAAACACTTAAAGAATCATAAATTTTGAATATATTTAAAATTATTGAAATTTTAACTATATTATTTTAATAAAATTAATCAAAAATATTTTATATCTTGTTGCAGATATTATTAGTATTTTTTTGTAGTAAATATTAATCAGATACTCTAGAAAATTCTTCCAATATCACATTGTTCCACGATTGATCCATGAATTTCAAGATACAAGAAAATTCTCCCTAATTACCTTGACGAATATATTTAGGCTACGGTCATCGGCGTTCCAGCTGTGATGGACCTGGGTGTCCCGCGAGGCGGGCGGCATGTCGAGGAGTACGTCGAGACGCGGCGGTCTCTGGAAGTCTTGCGCTAGCTCGCGCGGTACCACCGACCGCGTGTACGTTGTGTTATTTCCACCGCCGACGCCGACTCCGCCGCCGGCTCCGGCTCCGCTCTCCCGACTCATGCTCTTCACGCCGCCTGTGATAAGAAAAAAAGCGAATTAGTCTTTATGGTTTTTCATTTTATGTCGGGTTTTCTATAAAGTCACTAGATTTATAAAAGTATCGTAATTGTTACAAACTTCCACCATTTTTGCTCCACAGTATACGACAATTTCGAACTTATTGGATTTGTTTGACATTATTTTATAATATATAATTAATATTATAATATAATATATAATTTATATTATAAAATATATATTATTAATATAATTTATTTTTGTGAATAAAGAAAGATAAACTCGTAGATCACACAAAATTGCATAAATGCTTATGTAAAGTGTTGAAATATATAATATGATAATAATATATAACAGCCTTTTAATAAGGAGTGGAACGGGCAACCGTGAACCGTTTTATGGAAAGAAATTATATACAAGTAGAGAGCCCTCGAGATAGAAAAGAAGGCGACACTTTTTTATATCAAAAACTCTTATGATAAATTATTTGTCTGACATCTTTTTGTTTTGAAAAATATATATGTCGCGTATGCTACGTGACCGAAGAGAATTTTGTATCTTTATCAGTTATTATTTCTATATACACGCTATCGTATTTGTAAATATCGTTCTTAAATAAATGATGATTTGACTTCTATCAATTTTTCAACTTTATTAGTCTCTGTTTCAATTATTTGTTTTTATCGAATTTTATCTTTAAAAAATAAGATACGATAATAAAAAGTACATTAATATATTATATCATTTATTAGTTTAAACCACAGTCTGTATGCATTTGTGTGTTAAGGTATAAGTAGAATTAATAATTTTGTAGAAATCAAATCATATATATATAAGTATGAAAGAAATTTATTTCAGATTTTCATCTTATTTTCACACTATGATTCATCATTGAAAGAGATTAAAAAAAAATATTTTCAAATATTTATTCCTTTAATTAATTTTTTATTCTATTTCTATTTAAGCATTTTTTCAATTTTAATTATTTAATTATTTTTATTTAATAAATATGTATAATATATAATTATTTACAATATTGAAAAAATAAAAATCATAATTTAATAATACAAATAATGTTTACAACATTTTATCTTATATCATTGAATCTTTAATTTATTGAGCTTTACAGATATAAATAAAAAAAGAAGAGCGTATAATTTCATTTTAAAATATCTCAGAAATTCGGTGCATATCTCTTGGTATATTGGTCATATTAATTAAGTATAAAAATAGCGGGGGATACAAAATAAAATTATTGCATTTCGAACTATACGTTGCATTGATAGATTCGAGGAGATTAATATTTTTATTAACATATAAAAATATAAATATAAATTTAACGTATAAGACGGGCAACAAGAGCCAAATCGCGGATGACAATGCGTTATCCTAACGAAACTAAATAATTTTTCGTTAGAAATAAATACCGGTGCACAAGGCACCAAATTTTTACTTGGACACGGCCAATATAAAAATATATATAACGCCATATCGCGAAACTACGATATTGTTAAACGAAAATAAGGAAGAGACCCTTCGGCTTTTATAGATGCTTGTTCGAGATTCAAGTTTTAAATGTCCACACAAAGAACAGATAGTATGTAAACCGAGCGTGTCTTTTTGAGAAATAAAGTTTGGGTATATAGAAAAAGACAGAATCTATAAGATAGAAAAGGATAGGAATCTTTAACAAGTGAGGACAATGAAAGAGAGAGAGAGAGAGAAAGAGAAACGGTGCCTTCTTTTTATTCGTTTCTACCTGAAATTTAAGACGTTACCCTGACAATGGATTCTTCCCTGATGTTAGCATCAAGGAATGCTAGGAATGCTATCGGAATACTACAATAGGATAAATCAGATTTGGCGATCATGAAAGGAAGTAAGGGAAATAAGACAGAAGGAAAATGACCTTGCGTTAAGTTTTTGAAGGTTTCGGAGGACTTCGGACTTCGGAGAGTTTTTCGGAATGCCAATTGAGAACCCCAAAATCTCTTTAAAAACTTACTATATGTATAGAGGACTATAGTAAAATATTCTTGGTTTGTGTCAAGTTTTCCGACATCCGTTCACGTCCTCGAGGGTTTTTAAGGTTTTCTTATAGCGGATTCCAAAGAATCGACACGTATATAGGTTTTAATAAAGAATAAACGATAATATGCCCTTTTACCAAACGAAGCCGAAGACTTAAGTCCAGGACCCTCTTTTTGCAGTCTTTTAACATTTGGGTTATTTCAATTTATATGCCGCGCCGAATAAATGCGACTCCAGATCGTAAAATTCAGGGAATTTGTATCATGAAATTAGGTCTATTCCGGAAATCAATGAAAAGAAAAAAATGTCATCGTGTATTTAGATATTTGAAGATTTGTATAAAATACAAATAATCTTGTCGTATACCTGTCATTCATTATTGGCAGGAAACTGCACATTTTTCGGGAAAATAAGGGTAAAAATTCACAAGTAATGTCCTGTGCATTTTTGAAGTCTAAGGTGGACAAAAGAGAGAGAAAAGGTCCCGAAAGAGTGCCTTGTTAAAGAAAAACGACGTATAAAAATGTAGAGGTAGAAATGACGACTATCCTTGGAGCGGGAATCGTCCGCGGACCCGTGAGTCTCTTAATGAGAATCGTTGTATGCGGTAAGTAATTAGCCACGACGGTCATTACTTCGTGGAGGCGCTGAACCCCGACGACGATGTAATTTAACGTATGAAAAATTTCAGATGGACGATTCACATTATAACCGTATAACGAAACGAAGAGAAAAAACCTTTCATTGATTGGATATTAAATATTAAAATATTTATTAATTCTTTATTTTTTTCTATATTTTGGTTCTCTTTTATATTTCTACATATCCAATTATTTCTCTCTATAATCTTTATCTTTTATATTGAGAAAGAAAAATATTTTTATTGATTTTATGAATTTTTTATCGAGTTTATACGAATATATATATAATTTTATATATACATACACATATACATATATGATTTTACCTAAAGATTTGTATAAAATTGAATACATTTTTATTAAAAGATGTAAAAATCTCTGAAGTCACCAGATGATAATTAAAAAATGGTAGTAATTTAATCAACCAACTCTGGCTATTTAATGATCTTTATTTAATATTCACGACGTTTCGGCCATGGGTTTCGGCCCTTATCAAGTGCTACAAATTATAATAATGACAATTATTAGAAAATTAAAAAATTAAAAATTAATTCAAAAGTAACTGAGTAACAATAAATATTTCCACACATTAATATGTATCCTACCTAAAACACAACTTTCTATATAGAAACTTAATTTCTGATCTTAAAATGTGACATGATATAATGTGAAACAATTAACTATATTATTGTGTTGGTTTCAAGCTCTTTATATACTCATTACTTCGATCAAACTAAACGACCTTTATTAGTTTATCGTAAACAATATTTAGATTATCCGTGTCTTTTTGTAAATTGATTGTGTTGTCAAATTTTTTGATAAAAAACATCTCCGCGATTTCTCTTTTTCGTACATATTTCTCATGATGTAAAATTTCAGGAGCGGACCAATCATACGTCGGTCAGACTAAACGACAATTAGGCACACGCATAAAAGAACATTTTAATAACATTAAGGTACACAATAGTAATTATTCAGTCATTAGTAATCATAAATTCGATAATGGTCATGATTTTGATTGGTCCGCTCCTGAAATTTTACATCATGAGAAATATGTACAAAAAAGAGAAATCGCGGAGATGTTTTTTATCAAAAAATTTGACAACACAATCAATTTACAAAAAGACACGGATAATTTAAATATTGTTTATGATAAACTAATAAAGGTCGTTTAGTTTGATCGAAGTAATGAGTATATAAAGAGCTTGAAACCAACACAATAATATAGTTAATTGTTTCACATTATATCATGTCACATTTTAAGATCAGAAATTAAGTTTCTATATAGAAAGTTGTGTTTTAGGTAGGATACATATTAATGTGTGGAAATATTTATTGTTACTCAGTTACTTTTTAATTAATTTTTTAATTTTTTAATTTTCTAATAATTGTCATTATTATAATTTGTAGCACTTGATAAGGGCCGAAACCCATGGCCGAAACGTCGTGAATATTAAATAAAGATCATTAAATAGCCAGAGTTGGTTGATTAAATTACTACCACATTTTTTATTAATTCTTTATGTTTTTTTATATTTTCCATATAACTAACTTCTATTTAAAATTAGATTTGAAAATTTTATTTGATTAAAAATTACTTCTTTTTACAATTTATTTGATGTTCGATACATTCAGTTACGACCAAACAACGGTTAAAGTCATATCTATAAGTCGATGACGACATTCAGCCGGTTGTGGGTTTCTTACGAAACAGGATGTAACTGTTGAAGAAAAATAAATTCGTAAAATATACGAACATGCTGGTTGTGTCTAATGTGACGAATGAGTTCCGATGAAGGCGTCTCGTTGTTCAGAATATAAATCAGATCTTGGAAAGAAATGATAAGGCAAAGTTATTTAATTGATAACTGATATTTGTGTTTCCCAATTTTTTTCATATATAAAAATGAAAACGTTGATATATTATTATATATAATTGTTATATATAATTGTTATATATGTATATAAATCAATAATTATTTATTATTGCGTTTCGTTATGTGTAAAAAAATTATTTCGTTACATCATGAGATGTAAATAACGTTATATTATGCGGAAGTTATTTTAAACAAAAAGAAAACGTAAACTATCTTATCTCTCTTAAGTTATTTTCCATAACTAAGAGGTCTATCTCTCTTCTGCCAGTTATGGTAAATATATTTATTATCTTGACAGAAATGTAAATATAAGCTCGTGATTTTATTATCTCGACAGAAATGTGTAAATTTAAGATTGTGAGTTTAGATAGTACAAAAATTTGAAAAGGGTGTCATTTTGAAGGCCTTGTCTCTTGGAGAGAGCAAGCAGGCATCTTGTTTAAAGGACCTGTTCCAGGCTCTACCTGAGCAGGTAAAATGAGGCGCGGTCAAGGGCCTTGACCCTCGATGTACGCTTCACGATGTG